AGAATATTCAATTAGGAAAAGTAAATTACATAGACAATTCAGATCATAATTTATTCATACCGCAATGCATGATGGGAGCCATTAATGAGTTGTGATTGGTGGCAGCCACTGCAACATTCATTATTAGTGTCACCATTATTGAGATTCACAGGCTGATTATTGATGTCTGTGTTTCTAAATAAATTCATTTCAAACTATTTTTAATCAGAACAATGTTTATAAGAAAAATACTGATAATAATATGCTGTAGGATCACAAAGCTGTTGCTAATGATTTAAACCAAACTATCTCAATAAGTTTCATTTTTCAGATCACAGCATGATTATGCCCAAACATAACCAACACTATCAGATCACACTTTTCTGTGTTCATTTGACTGTTATAAATCAATAACAGCAGACAAACAAAATTTAAAGATGAAAGTATAAGGGTCAAGAGTCCCACTAAACCAAACACTGATCGCCATACCGGTGGCTTACAATTTGTGATTTTCTCCTTCAGTGATTCTGCTTGTTAACATCAGGTGTCTTCAATAATGCTCAATCATCACTAAATTAATCACTTAATTATCTCATTAACTTTAACACTCTTGAGTGTTAATTTAACACTCATATCTGCATCATATCTTCCATCTGAAAGCAGGTGAAGGTGATTTACTACTAATCAAGGAACCGGCTTTACTGAAGAGATGCGCATAACATATCGTGCGATATATCGCCCAGCCCTATTTAATAGCATTTATGAGTCTTCCCCTACCATCCTAGGAAAAAAAATATCGCTCCCTAGATGTAGATATACATTTTGCTTCGTTTTGCTCGGACATTTAACGGGATGTACATACACGCGGAATCACTCGGACATTAATGGCGTAGACATACACGCGGATACACGCGGATAGCTCAAAATGCGTATAGATAACACGCCACTTGACTAGAAAGTGGCGTGTATGTTTACGCAAAAGTCATGATGTCATGTTGGCTGCTTCAATGTATATGTAATGAGTGATTATAATCAAGGCATTAATCAATATTTTTCCTGATGTAGCCCTATGGAAAAAAAAAAGGTATTTCCATAAGCCAATATTTTATTTTGGTTATTTTCACAATAATAACCGCTCACGACCACAACGCATGAGGAAGTCAGCCGGATCCAGGCCATATCCAGATCAGATGGAGGACCTGCGCCTAGACACAACCACAACGCAACGTGTCAACTAGACACTCCCCTGTGAAGGCCTCATCGACACATCGGCACTGATCCTCAACAAACCCGTTTCCATACCGGCGTGATGACTCTGATCTTCAACCAGATTCAGAGGTGTAAAGTCCAGTGGTCAAAAAGTAAAAGTCCTGCCATATGTTTATTCCACCCATGAACTCTGATTGAACAGCTGATTTCACTGCTGAAAAACTGTGCTCATTAGCAAATCCAGGTGATTGGAACAAAATACTTAGGACAGGGCTCCAGACTGTGACCAAATGGTTGCATTTTGTGTCCAAAATTTGAGAGTGTGCGACTGAATTTTACATCCAGTTGCACATGTGCGACCAGTAAATTTGCCCTTTTTTTTTTTTTTTACACGTTAAACGTGGAAGGGGTGCGTCAATGAATCCGGAATGACTGGCAGGCCAATGTAGGGCTGTACTCAACCAAAGAAAATCTTGGTCGACTGAAGTCCTGACATTTTCGACTAAAAATCGACTAAAATCGACTAAAAATGACGTTAGAAGAAAAAAAAAAAACGTTAAATTAATTAGCTGCGCACAGTGCGCAGTACTTGGAAGCCTTGTTGTCCGCCTAAATGAATTATAAATAAACATAAAAAAACTAGTAGGCTATTTGCAGTATATTCAATCGTTTTTGACCTAATTATTTTGCACTGAAATGAGTCTGACACACGAGTCTGTCGGCTCTGACAGCGTTGCATCACGTGCACCTGCGTAATATCATAGCCTATGATTTCCGAAGATAGTACTATGTTGTCAACTATTGATATCATCACAAGAACTGTTGAGGAATATGCAACATAATTTAGACAATTATTTTTGTCATATGTTATAACTGTCAGACACTATCATTTCAGCCGCTCTGTGCATGTCCTCGCACAGGCTGAACATAGGAGAGATCAGCTTCGCGGCTGAGACACGAATAGACTATAAACGTAAAGCTTTTACTCTTAATAAACACAGAATATTTATTAAACAAACCAGATCAAGAGCAGAAACGAAATAAAGTGCATAACTGAAAAATAAAGCATCTTAGGCTCAAAACTAACACAAACAGTCGGCACAGCGCAATTGCGCATTTGGCTCCAAACAAAAAATAAAAAAGTTAGGTTATCACACTAAAACATTGAAATATGCAAATTCTGATTTGTTCATATAGCCATCTCAAAACAGACAGGGCAAGCTAACGCAGACAAGTGAGCTTACCACTTTTAGATGATATGTTTGTCGTCGAGGTGTGGTTGCTTGCTCACTTTGCATTCAACCTTTTTCCCGTTATCAATTTTAACAAAATGCTGCCACACTGTCGATTTCTTTGTTGTTGACATCTTAGAAGAGGACTGACTATTAAACGCTCTCACAATTAAATAAATAATATTCAACATCAAACCTTCAATAGCCTACTTATCGTTCTCTCTTGGGTTCGGCTAATCCAAAAAAGGTGAAAACAAGGGGGTTGTTCTGAAGACAGACTGTTACCTGTGAAACAAGGTGTGGCGAGGGGGGCGTGGTTCAGCGAAGTCTGTAGCGGGAGAGCGAGGGCGGAACCGAGCGGTGAGTAAGTGGGTCAAGTGCAAATGACAAACACCTGTTTGTGATTTCAGTAATTGGCGTGAGGAGACCGCATATAAGCGGGCCGTGCTGACAGCGGTTTGAGAGAGAGACTGGAAGCTCGTGCATGCTGCCGTTTGTGTCTGCAGATCGGGAAGCTGTGAACAGCGGAAAGAGTGTTGCTTCATCGGCATCCTGAGAAGCTGTAGCCAGCGGGAAGAGTTTTTGTTCTACATGTGAATTGAGTTCATAATTTTGAGTTAGTTGTGAGAGCGCCAGAGAGCGCAGAGGAAAGAGCATTACTAATAAAGTGCACGAGCTCCACTGATGCGCCTCAGCGCGGCAAAACTGATGAAATGAACGCGGGGGAAAAAATCGACCAATCAGAATTTTGGTCGAACCAGAACGTATCGACCAATTAATCGACTAATCGACTAGGACAATACAGCCCTAGGCCAATGAGTGGGACAAGTATAGGGAATGGCACACTGTAAGTGGCTAATGTGTGGAGGGGGAGGGTCCTAGAGATAATCGACCGCGTAAACGCCTGTGAGAAGGAGACATAGACAGTAAAGAAAGGGAGGAGACGGAGACAAATATCCAACCTGCTATGTGCATCTGAGCAATGAGCAAGCGATCTATCGACTCGTTACCGAGCAGCGAATGCAAACAATATGAAAGCGGAACGAAAATGCGGTACTCATTTATGCTTCACGGACCGTTTATTAGTTCGGACCAATAATAGACAGCGCAGCGCCCCGAACTTGCCAGTCTCGGGCCGATCTCGATCACGCGACACTGTTACTAGGAGATCCAGTGAAGAAATCCATTGAATTCGCCTCAGAATTAATAACATCATCGCTACGAGATCCAGTGAGAAACATTCCGATTCGGCCCAGAGTTCTCTGTTATTATGGGTTTAGCTAATGTAGTAACTCCATAAATATGGTATTGTGACAGAAATAGTCAAACGCTTACAAGTACTACATATCTTTTTCCAGCACTTCAAAACTATAATATCATATATAAATGTTATTTTTAAAGTGATGTCCAACACATTTTTTGTTCATCCTTCAAAGATTGTCCTAAAACGAAAAATGTTAAGATGTAAGAAAACTCTTATTTAAACGCTTATTTAAAATAAAAAAAAGTGTAAACAGTAGGATGTTTATTGGCTATTTTCACTCCTTTTGCTTTTTAATAAATACTAAGATTATGAATAATAATAACCTAAAGATAATTTCATCTACACCCTAAATTAAGCTTAGTGCTTTATTGTCAGCCCCAGTGCTACCAGATATGTTTCTTTAGAACTCAGTGTCTCGGTGATGCTGCCCTCAAATATTAGTCTGGAGCCATGTGAAGTTAAAATAAAATGGCATATTGTAATATCTGTACGTTAAGTGTATTTATTATTAAATAATTTGTCAGTATTACAGTTATTTTGGGGGAAATTTGAATAATTGCATTACAAGCTGATTTAAGGTGTGCCCCTAAATTTTCTGCTTGCGCTCCTAAAATTTTCAGTCAGGGGCAACAGCGCTCCTAGTAAAAAAAAGTTAGTCTGAAGCCCTGGAGGAGGACTTTTACTTTCTGAACCTGGACTTTACTCCTCTGACCAGATGGATCTGGATAATATTCTGATTGTTCCAATCCAATCTGACTTCTTACCTATAATACTGCCTGAATCATACACTGTTTGTTCGTTGGCCAGAGAAGAACTGCACCCCAGACTGAGCCTGGTTTCTACCAAGGTTTTTTTTTTCTACATTATACCACCTGATGGAGTTTTGGTTCCTTGCGACTGTCGCCTTTGTCACCTTTTTTCACCTTTGTTGCCATTGGCTTTTGGTTTGCTTAGTTGGGGACATTACATTTAACAATTACTTTAATATTCAACAATAATTTTGAAAAATAATATTGATCTGCCTGCATTGACACTATTATATCAGAGCTGAACTGAGCTGGACGATGACATCACGGTTTTCTCCAGAGCGGCTATATAAATGAACTAAATTAATAACTTTTTTACAACAAAAATGAAACCTCACTGAACTTAAAAGCTGGGCTGTGATGCTATTTTCTTCTGGAAACATACTTTGTTTCATTATTTTCCTGTTATCTCTGTAAAGCTGCTTTGAAACAATCTATTGTAAAAAGCGCTATAAATAATTGTTTGTTTTCACCTAAAGAACTTTAATCATCTGTTGGTTTGTGTTTCAGGTGTTTCTGCTGCTAAACAAGATGAAGTGAAGAGAAAGTCAGTGAAGGAGGGAGAATCTGTTACTTTAGATCCTGTTGTAATAAGAAAACCAAGTGATGTGATGATGTGGTATTTTAATGACATTCTCATCGCTGAAATCACTGGAGATCTGAGTAAGATCTGTACAGATGTTCAGTGTAAAGAGAGATTCAGAGACAGACTGAAGCTGGATCATCAGACTGGATCTCTGAACATCACAAACACCAGAAACACAGACTCTGGAGAATATAAACTACAGATGATCTTCAACAACAGCAGCTTCAGCATCACTAGAGTGAAGAGATTCAATCTTACTGTCATTAGTGAGTGTATAATTCAGCCATTTAAATGCATTTTCTTTTGAGAAAAAAAAATAAAAGTTCACATTTTTTTTAATCAACCCAATGACTGTTTAAAAAAGCGAACTTTGACTCAATGACCTTTTGACTAATGTTATTAACATGAAAAATTTAGTTTTTTAGTGAATATTGTGCTTTTAACGGCTGTTGTTAAAAACAACAGAAGGTGCCATTTATAAGTTAAATCGATATCTTACAACTGATGACCAGAAAGGTGTATGTAGAAGGTAGAAAGGTAAATATGAGTCAACAATATTGTTAAATACTGGATGAATTATCAGTCAATCTCTAGTAATAATTTCTGTCTGTGTGGATGTTCTAGGTTCAGGTCTGTCTACAGGAGCTGTAGCAGGAATAGTTGTTGGTGTTGTTCTGCTGGTTTCTGCAGTTGGTGTGGTTTACTGTTGTCGCCACAAGAGCCATGCAGAAGAATCACAGGATGTAAGTATTACATATCAGATAATTTAACAAGAAATGAGAATAATTCTGTATACAAACATAAATAAATGTGTTTCTAAGTACAGATATCTTGGTATTTTAATTGATGAATCTCTTTCTTTTAGTCTTCATATTCAGCAGCTAGCAAAAAGATTAAAACTTAAATTAGGATTTTACTTCAGAATCAAATCCTGCCTTTCGTTCAAATCTAGAAAGAGGCTGGTCGCTGCCACGTTTATGTCTGTACTTGACTATGGTGATGTTTTATATATGTATGCGTCATCTCAAAGTTCACATGCACTGGACACTGTATAGGCTACCATGGATCTCTGAGGCTATGTTTACACGGAAACGATCTAAAGAGAAAACGCAAAAGTGGCGTTGCGTTATCACTTTTTATTCTGCGTTTAGACGAGCGTTATGGTTGGGAAATCCGCGTGCATATGGTGACGCAAAAGTGTGTGAAATTCGATATAGCCTAGTATGCACTCCAGGCGGCTAGGTGGCAATGTGAAGCACTGCCACACAACAACACCAATATCTTAGAATATTTTGTACAACTGCTGAAAAGACTCTTGTATGTTTTTCAGAGCTGCTAGGGCAACTTAAAGGTCCGACGTATGGAAATAATCTGACATGTTGGTTGTTATTTTCCTGTACTGGCGCATGCATGTGACGTAAACGCGTACGCGACGAGAGCCACCGTGAGCAGATTTGCGTTTTTACCGTTTAGACGGGAATGCGACGGTGGAGCGTTTTTAAGATTTCCACTCTGGAGGGTGGTTTCGCTTTTTTAAGCCCCCAAAACGCCGTTGCCGTGTAAACGAAAGGCACATCCGATAAAATATTTTTACGTTTTCACCTGGAATCGTTCTCGTGTAAACGGGGCCTGAGGTTCATCACTGGTATGAAAGCCCTCACTCACCATTGTGAACTGTATGAACGTGCTGGATGGCCTTCACTATCAACATGGAGACTTCAACACTGGCTTATCTTCATCTACAAGGCTATTTTAGGTCTCCTCCCATCCTACCTTCTGACCTATATCAGTATAAATAGTACCGGGACTTATAATCTTCGTTCCCAGGATCTTTTCCTGCTATCTGTCCCAAAGGTCAGAACTGAGCTAGGAAAAAAGGCTTTTAAGTTTGCGGCTCCCTCAGCTTGGAACAATTTACAGAAATCCATGAAACTTACTGAGCTCGTCTCATTGGTTGCTTTTAAGAGGTTGTTGATTGACATGGAGGCAGCCACATCTGGCTTCAGATGTTTTAGCTAATGTGTTTTTAGGATTGTGGTTTATGCCTTTGAAAGATTTGCTGTGTCAGTTGTTTTATGTTTCTAGTGTTTTTGCATTTTTATGTTTTTATGTTTGTATGTACTGTATATGTGATATAGTACTGCTGCCTGTCTAGGCCAGGACACTCTTAAAAAAGAGATTTTTAATCTCAATGAGTCTCTTCCTGGTTAAATAAAGGTTTAATAAAAAAATAAATAATAATAATACATGTAAACTGTGAATAGTCATCTTTTGTTCTTTCTTTTTTAACACTACAGTTCACCAGTGAGGCAGTCAAATTAACTAAATAATTCATATACAAACATGTGTGACTTCTGTCAGAGACCAAGTGTCTTGTTATAAATCGCCAATACAACAGTTTAAGCATTCTTTTATGTGATATTGAAATCATAATACTAACATTTTTGGGTTACTGAAGTACAAGAGATGACAGTTTGATGCAGGTTTATAGACAGTGTTAAATATTTAAGAACTGAAAACCTCTGTACATAAAACATAGTATTTTTGTGTTTGTGTAACTGAAACAATTATCCTTCTCATCACTTTAATCATCTGTGAATCTGTGTTTTCTTACAGGAGGGTGATGCTGATAACCCACCACCTGCTCCCAATGTTATTCGTTTAGGGAACATGGGACATCCAGGTGATGCTGATAACCCACCACCTGCTCCGGGTGCCATTCCTTTAGGGAACATGGGACATCCAGGTGATGCTGATAACCCACCACCTGCTCCGGGTGCCATTCCTTTAGGGAACATGGGACATCCAGGTGATGCTGATAACCCACCGCCCAGGCGCGGATTTATGGGCGGGCCTGGGTGGGCACGTGCCCACCCAGATTGACAGGTGGCCCACCCAATCAGATTCATAAAAACAATTAATTTTAAAAATTATTAATGAATTAAGTTTAGCCATATACGACCCGCCGAACACTTTATATGATATATGACAAGCGCTGAGCGCGTCCATCTCTGGCTCAGCGCCAGCCAACGCGCGAACGCACAGTTTGAATCTGGCAGTTATGTCATTTCACTGTACTGTATTTTGTCCAGACTTTGAAACCCTTGCAAGGAGAGGCGACGAGGCTCATTGTTCACATGAACACCATGTCTTGGAAAGACAAAGACTAAGGGCCCGTTCACATATCGCGTCTTTTGCGCGCTCAAGTTTGTTATTTCAAATGTAGGCCTACAAATGTTACAAATGTTATTTCCATTCATAATGGAAAGAACGTGATCAGGCGTCTGATTGACTCGTCAAACGCGTGCGTTTCGACAGCCAAGGGACGCACGATTTGCATTAAAAGCAAAAACCACGAGATTCTGACGTGCGTTTTCCGTGACCACAAAGTGCACGTTTAGAACGCGCGCTTTTATGACAAATCGCGCTTCCCGCTTGCTTTTGACGGGTCAGTTTGCAATCAGACGCCTGACCAGGCGTTTATGAATACTTTTGCTTGCCATACGCAAGTGGTGCAGGCTGCAGCGCGCTCGTTTTTCTATGCCGCGACGAGCTGAAAACATCTCAACTTTTCAGAGAGTGCCGCAAGCATGTCATGTGATGTGACAAAAACCAACCGTTCAGCTTCGGCCGTATTCAGTTTCCGTAACAACTTCGAAAGCTCGGCCAAACAGCTGATCATAGCTGTACAGTGCGGTTTTTATTTCTCATCGCCATAACTATCTAGTAGCTAATACAAAATCTAGAAACCCTAGATTCAGGCCCACCTCGACTTAATCCAGGCCCACCCATCTGTCACGTTCTGCATCCGCCACTGCCACCGCCTGCTCCGAATGCCAATCCTTTGGAGAACATGGAACATCCAGACTATGGCTGAGGTTCCCAGTGAAATAATGTAACATCATTTATAATTTTGATACATTGAAATTGTTAGGGGGGTAACAGTATCAGACCCAGGACCAGAGATGATGAAAGAAGACCAGGAGTCGTGATGTTCAATCAAAGAGTAAAATTTACTGAAGAATAGTTTGCAGTTTAATTGGCAGAGTCAGCGTCAAAGTCTCACGAGGAGGTCGCAAGCTAACTCTACCTTACATGAAAATCGTACACCAGTTATACTGTTTTCAAGGGCATACATTACATAAACATTCACTTCTGATCGCTCAGAAGACATAAAGCCTAAACAATTACACATAGATAGAAGGGTACGTTGACATCAATCAAGATAGCTGTCATCCAAGTCACGAAGATCCAGTAATGACCTCGGAGGGCCCATCGAAAAGCGTCATGAGACCAGCCACCCCGTGTCATGAGACCTGCAACATACTGATAAAACCTTCCATCCTCAGAGAGAAGAAATAACAATTACTTTACTTCTTGAGAGATATATGTATGAAAGAAGTAAAACAAATCATAGAATCATACAGAAATTGACCCCTGCCCATTAATAGGGTCAGCAGAGAAACATGATCATATGATGAGGGTTTTCTTTAAGTTTAACACACTCCTTAGTATACATACGGACAAAAAGCCTGTATTTAATGTTCTTGCTCAGGGCCACAGAAGATTAGTCCCAGACATCATAAGACATTCATGAAAGATAGGCCTTTACCCAACATTCAGGAAAGAGGTGCATTCAACAGAAGTATGAATAAAAAATATATGTGAATCATTTATTGCGTACAGGAATGATTATATAACTTGATTAGTGCTTATTATAGTAATAATGTAATCATAAAAAAGGATATACATATAGTTAAATTGAAGAGGCAAGGGATTCTGACCCCAACCCTTCAAAATGGACACTGAAGAGAATTTGGTTTCATTTTTACGATTCCAAGATTTCAGTGGTCGGTTAGCCTAGGAAAACCCAGACAACTTCCGGCAAATTTAGATTTGCTCTGAGAGTTAGTCTGGCAAAGAGCTCATTTAAGCCCATTTCCAATCCGTCGAAATCGCGGCACCAATCAGAAACGTTGGGGCGGGCTTTACACGATGACGACAGCGCTGGGATTTTGAAGCAGATTTTGTAGCCTGCTTCCTGCGGCTGAGCGAATATGGGTAGAACTCTTGACCTCCCTACAACTTCAGAAATCCATGTAATGTGAGTTAAACGTGACCTTCGTCATCACAGTTTACTAATGCATATAGTGAAAGGGTACAGGCTTCTGTTTGGGGAGACAGTTGTTTTCATCTCAATGACACACCTGCACCATTTCCTTCACAGGACACATGCTTTCATCTACATGCTGTTTATCTACTTGTG